GTGCCCGATTCCGCCGCTCGTAGATCAAACAGAGGGCGTGATAAAGTCCAGCAAAAGTGGTGGCCGGGATTTTTACTGTTAATTCGATCTGCAAAATAGTGATCAATATAGTATATGTGCAGTAAAATAGACATGTTGCTGATAGTGTTGTATTAGTGTTTGATTTGGTTGCATAGTAGTTTTCTAATGGAAACAACTGAAAAACTGTTTGATTTTCTGATTTCTTTATGCTTGCAGAGAGGTTCCACGACTTCAGTTTGGCTATCATCAAAATTGGAGGAGAGCCCGATGCATTGGAGAGCATCATCCGCGAGTTCCATAGGATTGAATTGAGGAGGCATTATAACCTGACATCATTTGGATGACTTTGTCAGTAGGTAGAAATTAGAATTTGAGCAATCTGAGACCCTGAGTTCTGCATAAAGAATTTCGAAAGTGAAACACCTTGTTTGTCCTGCAGGAAGAATGGCTAACATGCCTGTTAAAGCTAGATAAACGCGTCTTGAAGGAACTGGGGTATGTTCACCATGTTGAACACTCTCACAATGACGGGTAATTTCTTGTTACATTCACCATGGAATGGTTTTGTGATTCTGTTCCTTGTACATAATTCAGTTAAATTCTATCAAGTATCCAGTTACTTGCCATTCTTTGGTGAGATTTCTTGATGATTTTTCTGAAGTATTTTTGTGCTATTCTCATGTTTGTCAAACATCAATTCAGACATCTTGATAATACTGCCAACACTTTTTTAGCAATTGATACTGCCCACACTTTTCCTGGTCTTTTCGTCCCATAGTAGAATAATCCTATGTTGCCATGAAAAACAATTTCATGTGTTGAAGGCAGCGGATCAGATCAGCGAGGCAGCGGCCGATTGGGAGCCCGGTTGTGAACATGGGAGTTCGTCCCCATGGAGGTGGCGGCCGTGGAGATTGGATGTGAAGCAACCCCACTTGCCGGTGGTGGAGGCTTGCCGTCCATGTGATCCTTTCTTCTCCCGGTATCCCCATTCCTTGCCTCCCATTACAAAAGCGAGCATGAATGAGAGCAGGGGCTGATTTTCATAAATTCATTTCTCATATATTTTAGTTGCTTTTTTGAGATTATACAAGATGCTCCCGATCTGTTTTGTCAAATTACTTGGATCCTTTTATGGAATTGACAGCCATCGTATTTTTCACCTCATGTTATTTCTTAATCCTTGTCCCACTAGGCATCCACTACATGTTTGGTAATGACGTGATGTTGAGGCGGCTAGGAGAAGCTCAGCAGCCAGATCAAGGGCTATCGAGATGGATCTGGGAGCCAAGCAGTAGTTCTTATGTTAAATTTTGGTTATTATATTTTCTATTGTTACGATTGTGGGATGGTTGATTTTGACTCGGTGTAACATTTGCATTTGTTTCCCCAGCTTGTTGGCGTAGATGTGTGGCACTGCGGCAACTGATCAAGAGCGAGGGCAGTGCACATCAGAGCTACGCTGAATGTAGTGAGCCAACCACGAATTGGGTATGTTCACACGAGGGATAGGAGAGGAGAGGAACATTAACATTTTTCATGATTTGGATAAAAATTTCAGTTTGTAGTTTCTCTGTACGTGGCAACACACTAGCGGTACTCACGGGCTTAGGATGAAAGTAGCGCCAGCAGAATCAGTAGGTTGGATGGGAAGGCGGTTGTTGCCCTTGTCCCTTGGTGCTAGCCTACCGTGGCGGCCTCACTAACTTGTTCATTGCGAATACGAGTTCGTGGGGTCGCGAGTTGCTGCAGATTTTTTTATCACTTTTTACAATATTTATTGATGTATCCCTAACTCATCGAGTCATTTTTAGCTTTGATTTCCCATATACGCCAGCCTAAATATTCCATGGTCAGAATATTTGCATGGTTAGTGGACATTGTCCCTTTCTTTCGTATTCAGTGATGGATGAAAAGTCAGAAATGACAATTCTGCTGTATTATTTAATTCGAACTAATGTTTAGTATTTTATATTGCCGATAGAAATAATTTTATCCGCTTGATTTAGGAAGTGCACGTAGGTAGGTCAACATATTTTGTAGCTCTTTCATATGTAAAAGCATATGTTGCATAAGAAATTATTATCCTCTAAGCATACTCACATTTCACTAACAAATAGGGGGAGGTTCCGATTTCAGAGCAATGATAACAAGGTTTGTTCCTCACTCTTTTGTTGGAATTTTAGTTCCAAATTAACATGATTTCTTATCCGCTTCATAAGTCATGCATTTGCTTAATTAGGTGATAAGTAGAGCAAAAAAATTGATCATGTTATTGTGGGGTTTGTTTAAACTCCAGCATAAGGAATTCTGGTTTAAGAAAAAAGACTTTTGACTTCTTTAATTACAAATTGATTGCAACATCGCGTTAGTATGTGATTTCTCACATCTGGTTATAATATTTGTGAAGACGTGCATTGCACGTGCACTTGAAAGCGGGCCCACGCCGGACGGCGCCGACGCTGAACCGGGCCACCTCCTTCGCGTATTCTTGGAGCTGTGGCTGACCGATTTACATGAAATTAATTCTCTCAGTTCTGGTGGCAAATATAATACACATAATCCATATTGTTATGCACTAGCGTGTGTGTGAAATAGATGGATTATGGTCCTGTACCCAATAAGATGGATATGTGTGTGTGTGTGTTAGAGAGAGGGAGAGGGGGAGAGAGAGTGAGGAAGAGGGAGGGAGAGTGTGTGTGGGGGGATTTGATGGTAAAAAAGGTCGACAATGTCGTAATATTGAACTCTTAAAGTTAATGTGGCCGCGTTGCAACGCACGGGCATTCTTCTAGTATTCGTAACTTGGGAAGCAAACACTATTTTCTTTGGAAGCAGATTATTTTCTCTCTTTGGAAGCACTGTTGATGGAAGCAAATATATTTCTTTTCTACGTAGTAAACAATTTAGTCATATCTTGAAAGCAATCTCGTTGGACGAGGGAAACAAAATATTCTAGATAGGTAGCTATTTCAAATGGAAAAAGCTTACCTTCTGCCGGCTGATCTCACGCCCATGTCCGTCGGCTCCGTGTCCGTCAGATCGTCTTTTGATCCAACAGCCGATAGCACCCCGCACCCACGCGCACGGGTCTGCAGCTCAGCTACAGTTTCAGAAATGCTTTCTGCAACTGAGAGCGTGTTTCAAAGCTCTGTGGTGGTTAGATCCAGCAGCGGAGAGGTGGAGCACAGTGCGGCTGGGACGGAGGCGGCGGCTGGGTGGCCGATGACGGCTAGGCGACCACGGCATACCAACCGCGCTGGACGAGGACGACGCGATCTGAGGTAGCCGACGGCTGCACAAGCAGCAGGTGTGCATCCTTTCCCCGCTAGATTCACAGATTTCCCCCCATTCCTGCAGGGGCGAAATTAAGGGAGGGATGCGATGGTGGGCGGTGGTGGTGGTACCCCGTCGCGTTGGTGTGCTCCCCTGTAGCGGCGTGCTTTTGCAAACAACCACTGCCCTGTTGCGGTTAGTAGCGGGGCGCTCGACGCAAGCAACAACGACGGTGTTTCTGCACACTTTTTTCATTTTGCAAAATTTTCTGCAACATTATCTATGTTGCAAAACTTTCTTCCACAACATCACCGTTGTTGCAAAATGAAAGGAAGACCGAAAAAATTCTGCAACACGACCTATGTTGCATAAAAAAATTCCGCAACACGGTCTGTGTTGCAAAAGAAAATCCGCAACCCAACCTATGTTGTAAAAAAAATCCGCAACACAACCTCTATGAAAATGTTGTTTCTGCAACAAGGTCTTCGTTGCAAAGGTAGAAGAACACGTTTTTTAGAGCAGATAGAAGAGCACGTTTAGCGATTAGATTGTGTTAAATCTAACGGCTTGCAAGGCGGAGAATCTTTTAAAAAGATTCGCCGGCAGATGCGTAGCGGCCCCAATTCAAATTGCACTGGATTCACCACAGTAGAAAATATTTTTTTCTCGTGTGGAAGCAAACTGCATGGCCCATAATTACATGCAGCGCTAACAGTAAGAATAGACGAGATTATTGGAAGCAGTTATCAGGGATTGTTCCCGAAAAACGGTGCTTTCATTGGTAAAACAAAATGCTGATTTTTGTTTTTTGTGAAAGCAACATCGTGATGCTTTTTCCCCGCAATAAAAAAAACATCGTGATGCTTTTGAAACAATATATAATTAGACACAATCTTATTGTGTTCACCAATTGATGGAAACATAAATTACAGCGTCTAAGACGGAAAAAAAATCCACATCAAAGCAGTTCATTCCGAAGCAAAACTGAACAGAATTAGAAACAACATTTTTTGTAAGGCCGCAAATTATACCTCGTTCAATGCCAATTTTCTATAGTTACTACTCTTCTTACCGTCCAAAATTTGTTGGCTAAATATATGGAAGACATTGAATTAGTTTCCTAAATAACGGACGTAATTAGCTCGGTCAGGTTTTAATTTTGGAATCTGCGTGTGCGCAGGGGCCACTGCTCATCCAACGGCTATACAAGCTTCCATCCAATGGCTTGCTGCTGGCCTGATAGGAAGCTAGGATGAATAGTCTGATCCCTAGCGGTTTCCATAAAAAATTTGCGAGCTGCTCTGATGTTGGGTTATTTTTAAGGAATCGTCTACTTGCTCTTCCAAGACATGAGCTCCCCACAAGATTCTTCGATTGCCATGGTCAGCAGCATCCACGGTCAGTTCCCCCTACCAATCGGAAACTAGAAACCGGAGAGGGGAGGAGCAGAGCATGATCACAACATAGAGACGAGTTGTACAGGCATCAGTCTTACAGAAGATTTGCAGCCACAGCCACATTCACCATCTTCTCCTTCCTCGCGTCCATGGACGCCGGGACACGAGAGCGCCATTATTGCCGGGAAAACACGCACACGGGTAGATATTTACAGAACACCGAGCTCGATCGAACGTGCCCGTACGACTAGTACTGCTACGGAGTAGATATGTACAGGGGACAGGGCATCGGCGGCGGCGGTGGCATCAGGCGCTGGCCTTGTTGGCCTTCCGGGCGCGGATCGACTTGGGCTGCTTCGGCTTCCGCTTCGCCGGCGGCGGCCCGGCCTTCTTCGTCCTCTTCGGCCGCGCCTTCTTCGACGCGGCCTTCTTGGTGGTCCTCTTCTTGGCCGGCAGGGCCTTCTTCTCCTCGGCGGGAGCGAGGCGGAAGGAGGCCTTGACCCGGACGAGCCGGCCCTTGGCGGCGAAGCTCCGCAGCTGCGCGGCCAGCACCTTGCGGTAGTTGCCCGGCAGCGCCTCCCCGTGCCGCTCCCCGACGCGCTTCGCGATCGCGTACGCGCTCGCCCCCGCCTTGCCGTCGCCCGCCGCCATGATCGCCTCCTTGATCATCTTCACACAGAAAGATCATTTCAGAACTCAACACAAAAGACTGAATTCCTCCCGTACCTTAATCACATCAGGACAGAGTTCGCTCACCTCGAAGTAGGGCGGGTGGCGCGGCCCCGCCGACCGGGGCTTCCTGCTCCTCGGCTTCTTCTCCTCCCCCTCCGCCTTCTTCACCTCACCACCTTCCTCCGCCATCTTCGCCTCACAGCCGGCGACCTCCATCTCCTCCCCGCCCGCACCCGCCTCCTTCACCTCATCAACCTTCTCCGGCGTAGCAACCGCCTCCGCCTTTTCGCCGGCTCCGACCACCGCCTTAGCAGCAGCCTCCTCCATCACGGTCGCCATCGAACGAAGCAGAGCACCTCCCCCTCTTTCTTTTTCTTGGAGAAAAGCAGAGCAGCTTCTAGCGAGTGGTGACTGGTGAAGCGGAACTCAGAGCTGTGGCGAGGTGCGGTGGTCCGAGGCCCGCGCTTTATACCGGCGGGCGGGGCGCTGCCATTGGCCGGCCAGCCGCGCGCCGGATCGCGATCCGTGGGGCGCGAGATCGCGGGCGTACGCGTGCCATTGCCTCGCGACGCGTGTGTTTCTTCTCGTGTGTTCGTCGCCGGGCGTGTGCTTCTGTGTTTTCCGGCGGGTTCGGTGCACGTGCGTGCGTGTGCCACCGTCCGTTTGCTGTGCGTGTGTGCACGATCGTGTCACCCGCCTCGGCTCGTTCGACTTGGCGATGGGTGATGTAAGTGTTAGGAAATATTATCTGTTACTCACTCCGTTCAGAGTTAGAAAAAACTTATCCTAAGCTTGTTCATTAAATGGGAACGTATCCTGTGAAAATGAATTGGTGGTGAAAATCTGAAAAGTTTGCCCGTGAGACGTTGGATCTAAAATCAACGCATCTAGTAAGAGGTGGGAGGGTTCAGAAGATAACTAATAACACTTTCACACATAACCCCCTACACGTACGAACCAAGACTCAAGTCATCCATGCCTAGACTTCTGGTCGTCACGCCAAACACATAATGGAGATCCATCCATGCAAAGGGCCGCCGTCGACCCTCCTACTAGACTCCCATGTATGTGTGACGGCGCGGCGCTCATCACCGCCCCTACCTAGCGGCGGCGACATCCATTCTATGAGTATGGATCCAGCAACTTCCGATAAAGCACCAAATCAATCTCCCCGTACCCTTGCAGAGGTATGTGGTACATGTTCCTGATTAATTCTGTTAGTCCTTGGAGCAAACGTGATCAAGTGATGTTTTGATACGTATCCATACCCGCTGTTGCTGAACTACAGATGGAACCTAGGCTCGGTTGTGAATTTTCATTGCAAACCAATGGTGCCAATAATAGACAACCAGAAATCAATCTCCCTCCAGTCATCCAGGATAGCTTCAGCACACCCAAGAAAGGAGCTAGCAGTGGGCCTTTTTGTGTGAGCATCTATTTTATCCTCAGTATTTGTAATATTCCTCTAACCGATATTAATTTCTGATGCACTCCGTCCTGTAATTTTAGGGTTCATCGTGTACACCGGAATGTGATGAAAATCTAAAGCCGGCTGTAGGCATGACATTCGAGAACATGGAAGCCGTCGAAGAGTTCTACAAGGCTTATGCACACAACGTTGGCTTTTCAGTTCGAATCGGTCAGAAGAGGACTGTAGATAATTTGGTGGTCTGGAGACGATTTTTGTGTGCCAAAGCAGGTTTCAGATCCAAGGCAGAGGAAGACAAGAAGGTTGTGACCTGAAATAAGCCAAATAAGCAGAAGAAGACAAAGATTACTAGATGTGGTTGCGAAGCTATGATAACTGTCAAGCTTATGCAGGGTGGCATATACTCAATAGTATATTTTCATGAAGAACACACACATGAATTTGTCACACCTAGCAAACAACATTTAATCAAGTCAAATAGACAAGTTAGTCAGAGGGCCAAGACCACTCTGTTCACATGCCATGCAGCTAGCATTGGCACATCTGGTGCCTTCCGATTGCTTCGTATTGGCGAGGGCGGATTTGAGTTTGTGGGTTGCACAAAAAGAGACTTGCAGAATTATCATCCTAATTTGAGAAGTTCGATCAAGGATTCAGATGCTCAGATGTTCATTGATAATCTCAAGAAAAGGAAGCAAATCAACCCAACGTTTTATTTTGATTACATTCTTGATGACAAAAATCGTCTAACTCATGTGTTCTAGGCAGATGCTACTTGTAGAAAGAACTATGCTATAGCAGGAGACATGGTGTCTTTTGACTCTACATATAGCACCAACCAGTATAATATGATATTTTGCCCTTTTACAGGGATAAACCACCATAGGGGATTTGTGTTCTATGGTGCTGCCTTGATCGTCAATGAGAAGATACCATCATACAAATGGGTGTTCCAAACGTTCTTGAAAGCAATGGATGGAGTAGCACCCAGACTTATAGTAACTGATGAAGATGCTAGCATGAAGGCCGCCATCGAGGAGGTTTTGCCGACAACCATCCATAGGTTATGCATGTGGCACATAATGAAAAAGCTTCCAGAAAAGATCGGTCCTTCTTTGAGAGAAGATGAAGATTTCTATAAGGTTGTGAATGCGTGTGTATGGGGCTCTGAAAATCCAGCTGAATTTGAGGCAAATTGGTCTTCTATGATTTCTAAATTTGCTTTGGAGAACAATGAGTGGTTTTCTCATAGATATGAAATCCGCGAGTCATGGATACCGGCGTACTTCAGGGGTGTATTCATGGCTGAGATTTTGAGAACCACTTCACGATCAAAGAGTGCTAACTCATTTTTCAACCATTTTATTGGTTACAAGCATGCTTTGGTGGAGTTTTGGATTAGGATTGGTACAGCCATAGAAGACCAACGTCCGAATGAACTTAAGGCTGACCATGAATGTTTTGATTCGATGCCTGAATTGGTAACATCATGGGGCATTGAGAAGCATGCAAGTCTATACTTCACCCATGAAGTCTTCCGAGCTTTTCAAAAGGAGGTACTTGCAGCTAGAGATCATTGCTTGATTGAAAGCATCTCGCAGGATAGTGATGTCAAAACCACGGTTATAGGTGGTAATTATGGCAAGGCTAGAGAAGTACAATTCAACACATCATCCACGAGTGCTCACTGCTCCTGCATGTTGTTTGAGACACGTGGAATTCCATGTCGACATATCATCTTGGTTTTGAGAGGTGCCAAGCTCAATGAGCTCCCTAGCCATTTTATTTTGGATAGGTGGAAAAAAATAGTTAACAGGAAGGCTTTATATGATAGCAGTGGCAACTTGCTTGAGGAGAACGCGAGCAGTTCTTCAGACTTGGCAAAGCGCAAAATGGTTTCTGAGATACACGACACATTGGACGACACGATCAGGTTGGCTGAACATTCTCCTGAAGAATTGGAAGCATTGAGAAATGTTCTCCGTGACTTCAAAAGAGATTTGTCTCAAAGAGTTGATGTCAATCATCCTAACAGGCAAGAAGAATTTGAGGCACATATTGGTTGTAGTATGCCTACTCAAATTGACATTCATCCACCAACTGACGTTCGTACGAAGGGGAGATGCAAAAGAATTAGGGGTCACTCAGATAAGGGGGCACAACAAAATAAGGATGTTGGGAGCCAGAAGAAGAAGCCCCGCATGTGCGGGAAGTGTAAGGAGGTCCGTTTCCATGACAAACGCACGTGTCCCAGCTAAATATGTCAACCTGTGGTTTCTTTTGCTTGGTTCTGCACAACCTGATGATTTTCTTTTCATGGAATACAAGATGGAATTTAGAGCTTCGGCTATCTTTGAAATTATATATTTAGAGTTTCAGCGTTGTCTTCTGGGAGCTTCAGTCTTGTCTTTAAAAATAGCTTTTTATTTTCTCAAATTGAAATCCAGTAAGATGTACTCGTTCTGTACCATGAATTATGTGTTCTTCTTCCTCTTTTCGTTGATCAAGTGACTGCAGAAGTACTCCAGAAAGAAGTAATAATTTGTTGCTCCAGTTCTTTTTGGTGTTTATGCATCATGTTAGAATTAAAATTTCCATCATTTTGTCCCAACATTAACTAGGTAAGGCCGGCCAGTTCCCAGTTTTTGCAACATAGCTAGTTTCCTGGTATTATCATCACAGATGCACAATCACAAACCATTTACTATGGAAACAGAGTTGATATGAGGAAAGGGCACTGGTCATTGTTGTGAATATCTTCCCAAATAAAATTCCTTACATTTCTCAGTATAATTCCAAAAAATGTGCACTGTATAACATCAATTGTTCCAATGACAATCTAAAGTCTAACTGAAAATACATGCTACCTGATGTATTCCTGTATGCCACCTACACAACAGACTGGAACATGCAAGCGACAAATGTGTCGAGGCTAAAAGGAAATGGCAAATCTAATGATCAAACATGGTTTGGAGCAATCGCTGTGGCAGTCGCCTACAACCTTTAAAGCTCTGTTTTTGTCATTCTGGCATTGGTGATTGCAAGGTTTAACTTGTCCGTAACACCTGAACTTTCCCCAAGGCCTTCTGCCTATCATCAACAGCAAGCTTCGTTCGGATGTTCCAGCACCATGTTGGACTATGTAACTTCAAATCATCGGGCCGATGGAAACAACTATAAGACCTGTAGGAAATTATGAATGCATTAGCATCAAGGTGAGTGTTAAGAGGACAAAAGAACCAACAGAAGCACAGTAAATCACATTGCACAGAACTGCTTTCCGATGGGGCGATGGTTATTATTGATAAAGGAAATCATCCACATTTTCAGTAAATTTAGACTCAACATAACGCAAATTTCACAATTGTGCCAAGTACAAAGCCAATTGTACCAAGCACAAATGCGCACAACATTGGGCAGAGTTGCTACGGCTGCACATACGGGATGCATCTTCTCTGCATCAGGCCCCCGGTTGGGCATCCGCGTCCACCTCCTCAAAGGGAGCATCAGGCAGCGTTATGGCTGGTTGCGCGATACGAAGACGGCCTCGCCTTCGCATCCGGCACCGGATCGGGGCATCGAGCATCCTCGTCCAATATCACCGCCTCAATAGGAAGTGGTAGAGCGCTACTGCGGCAGCCCGTAAGATGGAAAGGAATGCTTGGCCGCGCGTGAGATGCTGGCCGCAGGGGTAAATGGACGGCGCATATGGTGGAGCTGGAGCGGGTCGAGCCAGCGCCGGCGGCTTCTCCCAGTGTCGACAAGGATAAGAACGAACGAACGGGGGAAGGCTTTGAGGAATTTTAGTCAGACTTTTTGGATAAGTGGGGGGTTATGTGTGAAAGTGTTATTAGTTATCTTCTGAACCCTCCCACCTCTCACTAGATGCGTTGATTTTGAATCCAACGCC